GGAGGCCCATTTGTGCCAACTACATCACTCCATATATCCTCATTTAAATCATTGATTGTTTCTAACAGCCTCATTTAGAATGACAAAAGTTAATCTGTTGTTTTTTTAGTGGAATCAGTTTCTAGGAAAAAATCCCAAGCTGCAAAACACTGAACCACTGTTGAGCTGTATTTCCCAATATCCCATCTTTCCTGTAACAGAAGTGATGGATGGGTTGTTTGAGACTCAGGGACATGACCTACAGAATTTCTGGTGCCCCCACATGAGGTTACTTTTACAAACTACCTGGAATGGAAGCTGACACAGCTGGTGGGTTGTGAGAAGTGGGCTCTGGGTCCCAGCTTTGGTAGGGCTGATGGCAGGCTGGTGGCAGAGCAGCACACAGGGACTGTCCCCAGGCCTGGCTCTGCAGGCCTTGGAGTCCCTGGCAGCATCCTGAGGAGAGAACAGCCCAGGAAGTAAAGTGCACATCTCCAGTCTATGAATTCTTACAGCAGCATATGATCAGAGATGAACCAATTATGTCTGTGATTAACTGAATTAACTTTTCTTTGGCCTGAGAGTGAGGCAGCACCGTGGAAGACACCAGCACAGGTTCAATCCTGTGCGGGTCGAACTTCAGGCTTCTGATTTATAAAACTAAGCTGTGAGGTAGAGGAGGCACAAACACAGCCAGCAGGATCTGTGTTCAGTGTCTCTTGTCATCCAGTCCTTTCCAGAGGGATGTGCTTTCCAAAGGCATTTGGGCTGCACAAGGACAGCACTGGAGGATTGAAATCCTTTAGTTTGTTTTTCAGGCCTGTTACTTGTCCGAACTGGTTTCTAGTTCCCAAGAAACATTTCACTTTAGTATCGCTGGGACTGGGGGTCGTTGGGGTCCCAACGGAAACTGCAGGAAGCTGGGTTTGTACTGGCTGCCTGTGTGTGGAAAACACACTGTGTTTAGTATTTCATGACTTGAGACAACTGACTTTTCTAAGCTGGTTCTTTACCATTTTGTAACCGTTTCTAGGCTTTATACCTACACCTAACTCTCTCTGCCCCTTCCTCTCCCATGCAGCACTTACCTG